CTTCTCCTCGCCCACCACTTTCCCGTTCAGCACCTTTCGCGCACGCGGATTCTCCGGTGGAAATGCGTCGTCCGGCCTGGACGACTGCACTCCTTCCGCAGCAGCCGAATATGGCGGGGGCTGCGTCGTGTCGATCACCGTCGGCTCCTTTGACTGGGACGAGGGTTGCGTTGGGACGGTGGAAGGCTGGTCGGTAGTTTCTGTCGGCTTCTGGGCGGGTTGGGGCGGCAGAGGTTTGTCGGACGAGAAGACCCTCACGGGACAACCGTCGTAAAGGTCGACAAGGTCGACACGCACCCGAGAGACCATGCGAAGGAGCCCTCGACGTAGAATACGAGCATTGCCGTTGCCTTGAGCGTTCCAGTTGACTTGGGTGTTTCCGGTCGCCGCTGGCTGAGAGATCGCCTGGACAGCCGGGTGGCTCGGCGGAGCCACGTACAACTGGTCGGACAAGTCTGGCGTCGAGTTCGATGGCTATAACAGAGAAAAAGACGAGGTACTGACCTCCTTCAAGGCTGCTTTAATATGGGACGGTGGGAATGACATCACAGTCGGGGCGGCTGTCAAACACAACTGACAGTTCGCGCACCATATAGGAGTTGCGCAGTCACAGGCACGATGGTGTCTGTGCTTTCAGAAAGCAGAAGGGGTATCGAGAAGACTAGACTCAGCACGAGGAACACGGATGGGCCGTAACAGAGGAAACTGGATGGTGAATCAGAATGCCACAGCGTGCGACGCTGATAGGACCCCGAAAGCCCTTGTGTATCCTAGAGGGTCAAAGTATACGTACTATAGGTCAGCATTGCGCGAGTATATTCGACTTGTGTAAGGGGACACATACCGCTCATATGCATCTTTTTGGTAGGGCTTCCTCTGAACATACCTGGAAGATGAAGACTAGGAGAGCAAACAGTAGCTTTACGGCAATGGGAGCATAAGTAAGGCTCATTATGATGGGGGGAAGGAGGGAAGAGGAAACACGAAGAGTAGCTTAGCACGTCCACCTTATATACCCCCAGAAAGATATGGATAACGAAGATCAGAGACATATCTTCCTTGACATGAAGAAGAAACTATTGACTGATTCGGTAATGTAAGTGCCATAAACGGCAACTCTTAGGATAGACCGGCAGATTCCGCTAGGTAGCACGACGCCACCAGCGGAAATCATCTTTGTTCCTCCTTTGGTTTCAGTGGTAGCATCCATACCGTATCTTTTTCGTCCTACATTCATGTGCGAGGCAAGAGGAAAGATTTCCCATTATCGCAGTGTTTACTTATGCACTATATCACTTCGACTGGCATTGGAGATCGTCAGTTAATACCGCGGATGTAGCAGATAATGAAGAGAAGTTCTACACGAGGAAGATGAGAGGTAAAGTCGAGTAGACATATGACAGAATACGAGAGCGCTATATGGCTATGCAGAACCTCGCACGACCCCGAGAGAACGCCATACTCTTCGACTAACATCCTGTGCTCTCGACACACCGCTTGTCCTTTTTTCGCCTTACTTTCAAAAAGGGGGCCACTCTTCTCGATCAAGATGTGCCCGCCCCATCCGAGGCTAGCCATGGTCTGTCGCACGCGCTCGACATCCCCGTCTGGGAGACTTATCCCGTCCACAATGGTGAGTTTTCTTTGGTTGATTCCGAAACAGATACACTTAGCAAAGCTTAGCAGATTCCTGTAAGCCCTGTCACTCACGCCTGTTCGACTGAACAGATTCTCTCGGGAAGATTGCGTTCTGCGGACCCGGGAACATCCTTCAGGCCCCATCTGCCACTTCATACCGACGGGGGGGCAGGGCCTCCCATAGGAACCGCGCCGTCCACAGCATCCATCTCCCGCACTCAAATCATCACTCGAAAGAGGGCTTTCCAGGCATGAGCGCGCTTGTCAACCCTGTTAGCTGCTCTGGGAAACTGCAGGTGCTCTTTCACTGCGACCGAAGGCGCGTGGTGTTGAGGCAGATTACATCAGATCAGCAGAAATGATATCTGTGTGAACCTAAGCAGCTAGGTGCGAAGTCATTTTCCGAGTCGGAAGCCATTCAGCAACTAATTCATGTTGCCCATGGTCCGCCCTACCAACTCCTGCTGAGTGGCTGTATCGGCTACTCTCTGGTGAGTAGCAGCAACTACTTGCAACAATCCAGATTCCTGTACCCGACGTTCCCCTTCTTCCCATACTTTCCTGACGGCAGGTCGCTCCAGCATGCGGCGCTTCCTTCGCGATGTCGTACTATCCTTCTGGGAGGTAGTGACGTATGGCTATTCCGTGCCATCCGAACAATGCCTTGAGTGACCTCATCAATCCTCTGTATAAAGGTAGTGACGGGAGAAAGTAAGCTCACGATGTCCACGATATCGAACTTTCCTTCTACGAGCGATTCCTGCTTGCTCATAGCAGACTCGAGAACACCGATGAGGCGCTTGATTTCATCTTGGTAGTGTTTCGCCGCGGTGGGGACCCCGAGGCATCGCAGTATCAACATCGTAGCCATGTCCTTCAATGCCTCGATACTCACATGACACGGTGCACGAAGAGAAACGAGAGACCTAGTGCTGTGGTCAGCTTTGCCTTCTATATCACATATATCATATGTAGACTCACTGGTCCGAAGTAGGGCCCTTGACTGGAAGCTTGGAAAAACAGCCACTGTGACCGCCGATACCAGGAGTCCGCCCCGGGCATCAGAGGAATGTGTTTGGTCTATAATATTATATCAGACGTCACTTAACGTGAACTTCCCATCCTTATCGGATATCTCCACTAGATAAAGCAGAGTCGCGTTCAACTCCCAGATCACAAAGTCATTATTTCTATAGACCGGTCATCCCGGTTTGATACTGACCTTCTTTAAAGGCCAGCGGGTGCATGACTTACAGATGATCGACTAACGTGGGTATACGACCATCGGCGTTGACTTCAACTCGGTCTGGTCGTAGAGCCCGAGCTCCTCTGGTAGCAAGGTAACTTTCCATCCATTGGCGCCTGTCTATGACAGCCTTCGGGTCGATATGTGTCCATGCGAAGGAGTCATCTCTTACCTTGAATGTGTATAGCGTGAAGTGCTTCTCGGATGACAGCTATGGTTGGAATAAGAGGTGACGGCGGTCGCCAACTGTATCTTACCGACGTCAACTTTTTTATCAACATCGTCAGAGTCAGATGCAAGGTTGGGTTGTGGTACCGATGCACTGGGCAATAAGTACGACAGCGTTCTGATCGATAGGCAGAGTATTAGAAAGCACAACCCGTGGTACTGGCAATGTCCCCATCCATATGATTAGCCATGCAAATATATGCTAGCAGTCAGCCAGGGCTATCCCACAAGAACCTCCACCACGAATATTATAGTGCAGACAGATAATTTGGTCATGTACGGACTCTACTATGTCATCTCTCTCGTTTTACTAGTAGTCAATAATTATTGAATATAGCGAGCACCGTGAACGCTACTGAAGCAGACGCTTGTGGCTCCTACTACTTCTGATTCGCAGCTTCTGCTACCCTCTGGTGAGCGGCTGCAAGTCCCTCCTTAAACGGAGATTCCTGCAGAAATCCATCGCGCTGTCCCCACACTTTCTTGACGGAGGGACGTTCTAGCATCATCTTGTACCAAGCGTTCACATGCGGCGCCTCTTTCGCGAGGTCGTAAGTCCCTGGCGGGAGGTAGTATTGTATTGCCGCGTCGTGCCACGGAAATAATGCCTTTCAGATAATGTAGTCAGCGTTCTCGTTGTCAGAGTCAAGAAGGCTGTGGGGCACACAATGTCGACGATGGTAAACTTTCCTGCTACAAGCCACTCCTGCTCGCTCATGACGCACTCCAAAACGCCAATGACCCGTTTGATCTCATCCTGGTAACGCTGCACGGCTGTGGGCACTCTGTAATAGGTCCGGTATTAGCATCGCTGAATTGAATTCCCGACTTGAGAATGGCCAGTTGAGACTCACATAACAGGGTGGGCGAAAAGGAAATGCGAGATCTACTGGCATGGTCGGCTCGTCTCTACGATGAAGAGGGAGTATATCCCACCTGTCCAAAATAAGGCCCCTGACCAGATGCCTGGAAGAATAACCATTGCAGCTGCTTATACTGCATCGAGCACTCAACGTCAGACCGCAAGCTGAACCAGGCCGAGCCCTGTATACCTTCTCGTTGTGGTCGGACACGGTGAATCCACCCCCTTTATCATACTTCTCTACAAGATAGAGGAGGATCGCGCAGGATTCCCAGATCACAAAATCATTGTTCCTGTTGCCTCCCAGCTTTACAATGTCTCATCCAAAGCCATTGCATGGATTACTCACGAGTGATCAACCAAAGTAGGAATACGTCCGTTCGGGTTCAAGTCGATATGAGGGGACGCTTTGACTTCATTCTTGTTATCATCGACTTCGAGATATTTGAGCTCAGTCTTTCCGTAGAGACCAAGCTCTTCGAGTAGCAAAGCAACCTTCCATCCATTGACCCCTGTCTATCAAAGGCGAGCTATTGCGATTCAGATACATAGTGGGGGATGTGGGCACTGACCTTGTGCGTATACAGCGTGAATTGCTTCCTCGACAACATTCCGTACGACTCGACAACTTGTCGATGGGTGGAAACAAGGTCCAGTTTTCGGATTATGTATTAGTATCCCAAAAATTCCTCGAGTCACGAGAGACGGCAGCGAATCTTGTTTACAGAACCAATGTCCGGGCTCAGTGCCCAGTGCAGAGGTACAGTCTAGATACCCCTTTCGGTCAGTTGCAGCTGACGTACATGAGATCCACTACTTAATCCTCTGCTGTCATTTTATATCAAGAAAACATTGATCTCAGGACGTCTGTGGACTCGGAAGCAGTCCTCAGGTCCTAGTGAAAATTTTGGTAGCAGCACGTCAGCGGCAGAATGTGGCGCGACGGAGTACCAAGCAGAGACAAATATTTGTACTTGTTAAAGGGCCTATCCCACACCAATTATTATTAGGGGGAGTGAGAGTACTGGCCGGTTCTACGCGTGTTCTGACCCTTCATTCCGAGTCAGTTTCTGTCATAAAATCCAGTGGGATTGTTGAGTAGTAGGGAACTGCATAATTAGTAAAAAAAACAGACACAGGGTTGACCTGGGTTTGACTACGGTATCCGAGTCTTTTAGAATTGTCGATTGCCCGCTGTGGTATGCATTGCAGTCCGCAGTCTGAAGATATCATGTGGATAATTTTTTCTATTATATTGCATTCTTCTTCGAAATCGTCTATCTACATACTATTCGTAAGTACGGTCATTCTGCTGCTGCAGTATAGTAGGACGGCACAAGCGACACAGGGCGAGTGGCGTGGGAATATTGACGATAAGCATGAACAAACAGTAGAAGACACCTCGTTCATGATCAACACATCTTCAACCACATCAACAACGCACCAACATCGCTGAAGTTTTTCTCGTCCAAAAATCACCCGAATCTAATAATTTTGGGAAGGATATATCCAATCAACTCGACCCATTGGAAGCTATTTCTCTCGCGCTACTTCGAGCTGCAATCCTGATTCCTCAACTAACCTATCGCCGCGACGCACTAATACATCCAAACGGGCCACAAA